GCAGCACCCCGACCGCGTCCACGCGGCTGAGACCTCATTTCGAAGAAAGCTGGCTTTGATTCCTAAAGAAGTTGACTCGATTATAATCAGAATTACCTCGGACGGTTTTTCGGTCTCGGCCAAAACGTCGATAAACTGCTCGACGGGCCGAGGTTTATTTACAGCAACCATATTGGAAAAGACATCCTTTCCATCGTTTGCTGCACGGCCACCAGTAGTCTTTAACTCCACCTTTGGCTTGGAAGCTTTTTGAAGTTCCTTGAACTCCTTCAGGGTTAATGTCTTCTTCTCTTCTTCAACAGGCTCAGCTGGCTTCGCCGTGGATTCCTCGGTTTTTTCCTTATCCTCGAAAAGAGGCTCCTCGGGCAGCGCACCTTCGGGTGCCATCGTCACTTCGAGTTCGTCTTCAATGGTTCCCCAGTTTCCGCTGCCGTACCCATCCTTCTTTATGACAGGCTTGACACCACTGTGATTTGTAATATGACGGTACATTAAATGTGGCAATGGCAAAACCAGCACAAAATTTGCATAAACTCAGTTAGAGCCGTCCTCAGTATTCAGACAGGGATAACAATTCATCATTAAGAATACCCTTGTGACACGTACGTTTTAAGAGAGCCAGAGTGACGGTCAAACTCCCGATGGTTTGGGGCACGAGGCCTGCTTTTCGTAAATCCCCCACGACCACGGTTTGGATGACTTCTATCTTCCGGTTGTTCAAATGATGGTGCTGAGGGCTCCGCAGCATTGTCGAATTCCTCTTCGGTCGCCTCCTGTTGTCGTCCACTTTTCTTTTCCGTGCGGCCACCTTTGTGTTGAACCTTTTGGTGTTCATCCTCGGCAACCTGCTTCTCGGCCTGACGGCCTTGGGACGCTATTAAATTATTAATAATATTAATAGTACGGTAGTACCTGAGGCCTTAGTAGTAGGTGCACTATCTTCTTTTACAGGCTTTTCCTTGGCTGCCTTCTGATCCTTTTTCTGTTTCGATTGTATCTTTTCCAGAAGCAGGACTGGGTCTTCTTCGTTGAGGCCATCACTCATTAA